CTCTCTCTGTCTTTGCCTCTTCCACGACCCTTCGCCTCCCCCTCCCCCACTCTCTCCTTGTTCTCCTGGCAGGTCAGCTTTACCCATGGGGAAACCAGTTCCAGCCAAACCGCACCAACCTGTGGCAGGTAAGACATACATCCCTCACCCCTGTCCCTTCTCAAAGCACTGAATGAAACCTCCTGAGGCTAAGCATCGAGTTGGGCTGTGGGACTGCAGAGGGCTTTGTGTTCTAATGGGACTGGTAAACTGGTAAAGCAAAAGGCAGTGTGGTGGGGCTGCATACTGAAGAGTTGTAGAAGTGAATGGCTGCCTGCGAGTGGTGGGGGTGACTTCACAGAGGAGATGACATCGGAGCTGCTGGAATAGGAGTTTGCCAAGTGAAAAGTGGAGGAAAGGGCGTTCACAGCAGAAGGAACAACGTGAGTGTCAGCACTGTATTAGGAAAGGGTACTTACTGTGTGTTCAGAGATGGGACAAATTCAGAGAGGTTGGAGCACAGGGAAACGGGAGGTGCAGGAGATGAGGTAGACAGTGGGTTGTAGGCGGATTATGAAGGAGCCAAGATACAGTTTTAGATTTTCCTCTGTAGGCAGTGGGGAGCTGATGAAGGTTTTTAAACAGGGGACTAACAACATAATTTGATTTGGGGAGGGTGCTAGTTGCTAATTTGTGCAGGCCTAAATGAAACAGAGCTGCAGTGGTGGCAGGGTGGGAGGTGTCTCTGAATTGGAGGCTGTGGCAATGGCCTGGGGGATTGTGAACATGTGAATTAAGTAAAAGTGGAATGGGGAAGAAGCCAAATGGGAGAGGCATGCCTGTAACATAGACAGGGTTTGGTAGTGAAGTGGAAAAGTGGGAGGGAGTTGGATTGAAGCATGAATCTAAGCTTGGGCAACAGGGTGACAGTGCTACCATTATCCAGAACAGATGATATGCATTTGCGGTCAGAGGGATAGAACTCGATGGGGTTAGCATCAGCTTAGTTTAAGGTGCCCTTTGTCATTTATATGCTCAAACATTGAAAATATGAGTCTAGATCTTAGGACAGAGGTCTGGGTCAGAGCAAGTGGTTTGGGAGTCATCAGCATATATCTTAGGCAAGAATGTTATCCCCCAAGGAGACTCTGTAGAGTAAGGGGGGGCACAGCATCAGCATTTCATGGGGGGAAGCATTAAAAAGAACCCAAGGCGTAAACTGATCTTTTAGATGATCTTGGGGTCAGAGCTTTGCAAAAAGATCTCATTCACTGTGTGATCTCTGATAAATTAACCACTTTGAGCCTCAGTTGTCAGTTTTTTAAAGGGAGAAAATACTTGCCTCACAGCCTTGTAAGGATTAAGAGAGATAAATGTGGCAGCCTGAACACATAGTAGCTGTTGAGTAAGTAATTACCTCTTCATCTTCCCTTTAGTGAGATCAGCTTCCATAGAGTAGGGGGAGCTGAACCCCAGTTTTATTGAGAAGATTGAACAAATTGCATCAGCAAATATAGGTTCCTTTTTCAAGCATTTTGGTGGTAAAGCACAGATGAGGACAGTAGAGTCAGGGCAGATGAGGGAGAGTTAAACCTGTTGGCGGTAGAAGGGAAGAAATGGTACAGGAGAGCACAGGGCAGGCGTCAGTGGTCCTTGAGAAGGCAGGTGGTGCTGAGCAGAGGAGGGGAGGAGGAGCCTTCCCAAGGCACTGAAGCACATGGGGGTCAAGGCAGAGGGGTGGAAGCTGCTGAGAGTGGAGAAAGTGGAAGTGGGATGGGCTTGACATAGATCACTGTGGGCACAGGGAAACCACACATTTCCTAACCCAGCCAGGAGGTGATGGTGGAGGACATGAGGTGACTAGTTGGGGAGCTCAGGATGGCCACCTCAGTTCACTGCCTCATGGCCTTCATCCTACCCCAGATGACACAGCAGTATGACCTTGGTGTTCCTCTGGCCAAGCAGGAACATCCACCTTGGAACAGGATGATAAATTTTTTAGCTTAAATTTCTACCCCTTAGGGAAATTTCCCCAAGGATGACAAGGCTGAGGATGGCTTCCATGGAGTCTCCCCAGTGAATGCTTTCCCCCCACAGAATAACTATGGTAAGATTTCCTATCATGTTGCTGTCAATACTCACAAACTGGTTGGTGGGATCATTCTGCCTGAAAGATGAAGCAGAGAGAAACACCACCAGGGAAGCTTCCCGAAGCCTTTGATACCTAGAGGGCAGGGGAGGGGGGATGGTACTGCCCAGCCTGGAACTGACCCACCTCCTGTGCTGCAGGGCTCTATGACCTCCTGGGCAACGTGTGGGAGTGGACAGCATCTCCATATCAGGCTACAGGGCAGGACATGCGTGTCCTTCGGGGGGCATCCTGGATCGACACAGCTGATGGCTCTGCCAATCACCGGGCCCGGGTCACCACCAGGTGAGGAGACTGGTAGCTGGGGGCCAGGGGTCTGGGTCCTGGTGTCCCAGAGCTGGTGTTAATGCTGCTTCCACTCCTCTATCTGCACCCTAAGTTGTGGGGACAGAAGAGAGCATACACAGCATTTGCCATGAGAAGCAAAAGGGCTTCAGGCAACTTGTGCCTTTTCTTGCCAGCTCTCGGTACCCGGAGAGACTGTGTGTCCAGCATCATAAGGGTTTCTCCCCTCATCCTTGTAACTGGTGGCGGAGGCAGGGCAGTGGAATGGCCACATCAGTATTGGTCATGGAAATACCCTTCAAACTGGAGAGCACATGAAAAATCATTTTTTTTCTTTTTTTTTTTTTTTAAAGATTTTATTTATTTATTTGACAGAGAGAGAGAGGGAACACAAGCAGGGGGAGTGGGAGAGGAAGAAGCAGGCTTCCCGCTGAGCAGGGAGCCCGATGTGGGGCTCCATTCCAGGACCCTGGGATCATGACCTGAGCTGAAGGCAGATGCTTAATGACTGAGCCACCCAGGTGCCCCGAAAAACCATTTTCTATAACGATGTTGTTTTACAGTCAAGGAAAAATAGGTTGGCTGAGGTGCTGGGACCCACTCATGTCACACAGATGGTTAATGCTGGCACCTGAATGGTAGGGTCTCAGGCTCCCAAGTCCCCTGCTGGGACTCCCTCGACTTTGCTTATCTGTAGGTTTATTTTGATGCTTTCCCTCTGCCTCCTCCCATTCCTGGGTTCCAGAAGGACTAGAAAGAGACCACAGTTTCTGTGGCCTCAGGAAGTCAGGTTTGCAGATGTTTCTTGGATACGTTGAGGCCCCTGCTTTCCCTCACCTCCTTTTCTAGGACAAAGTAGTGGAGAAAGTACTGGCCTGGGAACCAGGAAGCTGGGTTTGCCACTGGATCTCTTGTGCCCATGAAGCAGTGGTTGGGACATTTGCATATTCCTAGTATCTGATTCTGGGTCTGTAAAAATGGTGAACAAATTCTGCCTGCCAGAGGTGTGGAGAAAAGGCAAATGAAGGAATGTATGCGAAAGTCTTTAGAAAAGTATGAAGTACTCATTGGCACTATGGTATTCTCGCTTCTTACTGACAGGTTTTTTTTGGCTGAGTTATTCTAAACTATGAGCAGTTGAAGTTACTAGTCATTGCCTTTCTTGCCTTCCAGAGCAGACTCTCATGACTGCTCGGTCACACTTCCTACACCCTGTCCTAAGTCCCTCCTTATCCCCTTTTCCCCAGGAGTGCCCTCATACTAGGCTTCTTTCTAGACCCTGCCCTCAGTCCTCAGGCACCCTGGACCACAGCAGACCCTAGGAGGTTGAGCATGAAAGTTGGGTAAGGCTCCAGGCCCCTTTCTCAACAAACGTCCATTCTCTTTCCTCTTCTCTGGTGGCAGGATGGGCAACACTCCAGATTCAGCCTCAGACAACCTAGGCTTCCGCTGTGCTTCCAGTGCAGGCCGACTGCCTGGGGAGTTGTGAACGGCCATGCAGAGCCAAGAAGAAGAGCCCGTTGTACCCGTGTCACTCCCTGGCCACATTCCAAACACAGCCAAACTTTAGCCTCAGGAATGACTTCCTCCCCCTTCCCCCATCCCTCTGTGGCAGGCATCTCTCACCAGGCCAGAAGAGGACTCTGACCTCAGAGGAGGGGGACCGCTGTCTCTTGAAGAAGGGACCTGACTTATTGATGGTGGCGGGGGAGCTGGGCGTTTCTCTTAGAGGTCAGATATTAACCGTATAGGGGCCAGTCCTCAAACAGTTGGGGCAGAGTGCTCTGAAAGGCACTTTGTTAAAAATTTTTAAGTCTGTTCCCTTCCCCTTTCTCAGTGTCTGATGCAGGGATCCGACATTGTTTTCTCAAGGCAGAATTTCCCCATTTTTCTTTGTTTTCTCAGCAAACTGCTGTAGAAGGAAAATACTTTCTTCATTAGCCTCATTTGTAGTGTTTCGTATGCCTCTGAAAGAACCTAATTTCTGTTATCGGTATGTAGAATGCAGTAGCGGGGCTCTTTAAAGCACAATGTGAGTCTTAAAAGGGTCTAGGAGAACCGAATTATGTGCCAGACAAAACTACATTGTGGGAGTCACAAAGTAAATAATACTCCAGAGAGACAAATACCAGAACTTTCCCTTTCTATTGTTAATTATATGAGGGCTTCCACATGCCTGTAAACACATGTCCCTGGAAAAGAACCTGCTCCCATGGTGTCACTGGATGCCGTGAGGTCAGTAAAATCTCTATGATTGTGTATCTCAAACTGTCCTCTCTTTTATCCTCCCCCTGGGACCCTCAGGGGTGTACACATGAGTGTCAGGAACTCTGGTCCTCCCCTGAGAAGGCCCTGAGATGGTGGTACAGCTGGGAAGTAGAGAAGCAGAAAGGCTCTCAAACCACCTCTGGTTCCCTTTCCATGGGGCCTGGCCCTGAGCACACTTACCAACATGTGACGGGAGCACCCTGCTCTTCTTGTGCAGAGCCTCTGAGAGGGGATAGTGGCCCTAGTTCCAGGGGTCCTGGCCAGGGCCAAGGGCCCCCTCTGGACAGAGGCCTGGACATGATCTTGCTCTTCAACTTACATTTCTGTGGCTTTGCCTCCTTGCCTGCCCCCCACCCTACCTTCCTGCCTGCCAGCCCCTCATTAGTCCTCCTCAGCCAGGGAGAGGAGCACAGCCTTGGGTGTGTTCTCGAAGAGGGCAGCCCGGTTCTGCTGCTGTCCCTTCTTCACCCAGTGGCCATAGATTCGGAAAGCATAGGCATCGATGAGTCGGCGCAGAGGCCGGAGGGCGTAGGGGTCACGGATGACGATCTCCCGGGTCACAGGCTTCACCCGGCGGTACTGGTAGTAGATCCGCACCGAAGCCAGCACCGTTAGAGCGATCACCTGTGGAGAGCCAGAACTGAGGGGCTGCGCCCAGCCCCTGCCGGCCTGTCTCCTTCCCCCTCTGGTGCCGGGAGTCCCTGAGCTTGTTTGCCATGAAGCCTTGTTTGCCCACTGCTGGGCCCTTCCTCATGTTCCCCCTACCATCCCAACCCCTCCAGCATCTGCAGAGATGTAGGCTGTAGGAGCCAGATGGGTGACATCTGCCTTCTCTGAAGCCAGAAGTTGAGCTGGAAGCATCACAGGGATGGGTGGGGAGGGGAAGGGCAGGTGCTCTGGAAGCCCTGTGGGTGAAAGGAGGAGTCCCTGAGGGAAGGAAGGGGACTTGGGGGCTTGGACGTGAGGAGTCCTGCCCCAGGGCCCTGGCTGGGAGGGGAGCTTCAGTACCTTGAACTTGCCCCGGGGGCTGAAGTGACGCACTTCTTCCACCACATACTGCTGGAAGAAGGGATGTGCTAAGGCCTCTTCTGCTGAATAGCGGCCCTTGGGGTTCACCACCAAGAAGCGGGAAACCTGAGAGAATAAGGAAGGGGAGCTGCAAACACCAAGGCAGGCTCCCCTCCAGCACTTGAAAAGACATAGGGTCTTCCCAGCAGGGTCCTCCGTTCTATAGCACGATACGCCCCCCCCCACCCCTGTTGGGGACTTCCCCTCGCCTCAGTGGAGGAGCCAGCAGGCCTGGCCTCTCACCAAGTCCTTCACAGTGTCTGAATAATCATCCCATTCAGGTGAGCCAAACTGGTAGTTGCCACTCATGATCATCCTCAGCATCAGCATCTGTTTCCGGTGCCAGAAGGGCGGGGAGCCAGCCAGCAGGGTGTACATGATGACCCCTGTGCTCCACCTGGCACCAGGTGGACAGGGAGGAAGGCAGGAGGGCTGGCTGTAGCTCCTGCCATTTCCTCCCCTCCCCAGCCAGGTGCTCCTAGCTATGGGGACATTCCTGTCCCTATGGGTCACTGCCTTCCCCAGCACACTCACATGTCCACCTCCTTCCCATAGCCTGGGTGGTCATCGTTCATGGAGCATTCAATGATCTCAGGGGCCAGGTAACTGGGGGTCCCACAGACCTCTGTAGGAACAGTTACCATCAGGATAGGTCAGCTGGGGGCACTTGGAAGACAAAGGTCCAAAGAAAACAACGAGATGAAAGTGCCACGGTGCTTGGGCTGGGACTCAGATTCTAAAACTGACCAACTTCAGGACCAAGGGCAGGGGCTGAGTGCTGGCTCCTAGGACCACCTGCCAGGGCCTGTCATCTCCTGGCCTGGAACTCAGGCGGTGGGAACCTGGCCCAGCCCTGAGAAGAGGCTTACCTGAAGACACACGTAGCCTGAAACAGTAGGATTTTTATTCCGGGGGCGGGGGGAAAATTGGGGAAGAAATGTAAGCATTTTCTGTTCCTGGGAGCATGGATGAGAGAGCCTGAGCCCCTGACATGGGTCAAGGCCATGTTACCAGACCTCGAAGCTTCTCTCCTGGCTCCAGCTGGCAGGAAAAACCAAAGTCTGTGAGCTTGATGTTCATGTCATCATCCAAGAGGATGTTCTCAGGCTTCAGATCCCGATGCACAATGTTGAGTTCGTGTAAGTTGCGGATAACCTCCAGCAAGGCTCTCATGATCTTTCTGGGGTGGGACAGGCACATGTTACTCTTATCTCCTCCTCTGCAGGCCAGGTAACAAGCAGGGAGACCAAAGCCCATATCCCTGCCAGACTGCCAGTGAGGGAGGACTCGGGACAGGCTGGGGAAGGCTACAAAAGCCTGCAGGGCACACCCCCAGCCCAGACAAACGCATGCTTTGCCCCCTCCAAGACCCTGGTGGCGGTACCACTCGTACTCCAGGGCAGGGAGTGGTGATGGGGACAGGTGGATCCTTACCTGGTTTCCTTCTCACTCAGAGTGACTTTCTCAGTGAGATAATCAAAGAGCTCCCCTCTCTTCATCCTGTGGGGACAGAGTGTTTGGAGCTGGATTGATTCCAAGACCACCCCCTCCTTATCCTGCTCCCAGAGACCTATTTCCTTCCTCATATCTCCAGAGAAAAAGTGGGCCACAATGAAGGACCCAGGGCTGTAGGGAAAAGCTGGGGAAGTGAGTGGAGAGGCTATCTGAAGATTAGAAGAGCAGGGGATGCTGAAGGGGTGGGATGGCTCCAGTGTTGGGGTCCCCCCATCGGTGGAAGTGACAGCACAGACTGGGATCTGTGAGGGTCAAAATCAGGGCTGGGAGGTGAAAGAGGGACCCAGAGCCACTGGCCCAAGGCCCCAGATCCAGATTTAGAAGGACAGGAGTATCCTGATTTTTCCCAGGAATGAATGGTAGAAGCAATAGTTCAAGTGCTGGGGGAGCAAAACTTGCTTATTTTAGGATTAAGAATTACGGTTCAGTCTTCTCACTTCTTGGGATGACGTAGAAAGAGGTCTCTGCTAGAACATACTCTGGAGGGCAACTCAGGACAGCATTAAAAATAGCTTCCCTAAGCAACTTCTTCAAAGGTTAGGGATATTTGAGCTGTCCCCAAGGGCTCTACAGGACCATGCCACGGAGCAGAGTTGGAACAGCTGTGGCTGGTTAAGTTTTGGGGGTCCTGGAAGAGTCTCCCCTGGTTAAATAGGAAAGGTATGTCCTGCCCTCTCCCACTCACCCCTCCAGGGAAATAGGTGGGATTCCTAAGGCACAAGGGATTTGGCTGGTGGCACAGAGGCAGGAAAACCCTTGAGCTTAGCTGGTGGGGTGGGGAGGGGGTTCTGTTTGAGGAGATAGCCTAGAATTTACAGAGGTGAGCCTGCCTTATACAGTACCTGTACTGTGTTCCTAAAAGGCAATGTGTGAATCCAGTTTTTATCATTTTTTTTTTAAGATTTTAGTTATTTGAGAGAGAATGAGAGCACGGGAGGGGAGAGGGTCAGGGAGAAGCAGACTCCCCGCTGAGCAGGGAGCCCGACGCAGGACTCGATCCTGGGACCCCAGGATCATGACCTGAGCCAAAGGCAGTCACTTAACCAAACAAGCCACCCAGGCGCCCCCAGTTCTTATCATTCTAATTCCATATTAAATACACGAGGAGAATTCACTGTTAGCAGCTGCAGAAAGATTTACCAGGAAACACTGGGTACTGCTTTCCTGGAGCTGGTAGTTTAATTGAACACACAGACCAAGTTACCTTGTGTCTCCACGTAAAATAACCCTGCACATACTCAGTATGGCCACAGTATGAAACGTTCACAATCAGTATGAACAGTATGAAACAATACAAAATCTACTTGAATAATTTCCTCAAGTAAATCCAGTCCCTAAATTAGCTGTTACATATGGAGAAATCAAGACACCCCCACGACATGATTCATGCAGCAGAGATTTGCATTCTTTAGTGAGGACTCAGTGGAGTGGGGGAACAAGGAGCTGGAGAGCTCCCTTCTCTGGCAAGCTTTTCTGATAAAAATCATAATAAGTCTGAATGCATTGTTCACAGAACACTTTGTGGTGTTGGAATTCAATGCTGAGAGCCTGGCTGGTGTCATTTTTCCTTTCTTGAGAAAACAGAGGCTCCCAGAGCTAAAAGGCCCACTGGGAGCAGGGCCCTTGCTCTGGCTCTTTCTTCTGCCCTTCTGCTGAGCCTTCTTCAGGTCTTGGCTCTGATCCCTCCCTCACTTCATCTGGGTCTCTGCTCAGGTCGCCTTCTGGAGAACATTCCCTGACCATTCCATTTAAAGAAGCCCCACCTCTCTCTAACCCCTGTTCTGCTTTATGTATCTGTACGTGCACAGTTAATTAGTATGGCTTATTTTATTTTACTGCTTTCTGTTCGCTCTCTCTGAAAATTGTTACATGAAGTCAGGGACCTTATATGTGTGGTTCATTGCTGTCTCCTCCATGTCTAGAATGAGTATTCAGTGACCACCTTTGTCATCATCATTGTAGTTAATAATTTATAGCATTTACATCCTGCCATTCACTGTGCTATTATTACTTCTGTAATACCCATGAGAAAACAGATAAAGAAATCATCTAGCTTCTAAATGGTGGACCCAGGATTCAAGACCTAGCAGCCTGACCCCCAGGGTTGATCTACCTAAAGCATTGGTGATCCTATTTGGCCTCCACAGTGTAGAGAGCTGGCTGTTGGTCTCCAGGAAGCACTGGAAAGGGGACCACAACAGGAGGTTCTCCGACAGGCACTAGGGTGTGGCTGGCTCCGGGGCTGGGTACTTACAGATCAAACACCAAGAAGAAGAAAGTGTTGGTCTCGTAAGTGTCCTTCAGCTGTACTGAAATGGAAATGACTAACTTGTAGCAGGAGAGCCTGGGCAGAGAGGCAGCAGGAGTAGAGGGGCAACAGGATTAAAGCTGCTTGGACCCACCTCAACACCTGGAAGCGGTATCAGAATGGCGTTCAAAGGAGGACCCCCAGGGAGGGACCCGCCCAGGGACTTCACTTTCCCATTCCCTGACCTGCAACCAGCCCCAGCCCTGCTTGCAACCCCTTCAGTCTGGCTGGAAGAGGAGGCTTAGAGCTGAATCTCCACAGCGGTGAGCATGGAGCTGGGAACCTCAAGTCTCAGGGCACTGGGCTGGTGGGGCTTTAGGGGACACAAGACACCCTGGTGGTTCTGGCTAGCTGCAGAGTGGGGCCGCACTCCCTGACTTGGGTTATTAGAGCAGAATCATGGTGGAGCACCCTGCTGGGGCCTAGGGCCATGACTCACCAATGTTGGGGAGCCCTGAGACCTTGTGCAGGATGTCCACCTCCTTGAGCGTGGCCTTTCGCAGCTCCTGCACCTCCTCAGAGCTGAAGCTGCCTCCACCAGTGACGTCAATGATCTTCACAGCGTACTCCTGGCATGTGGGCTTGTGGATGCAGCGCCTGACGACGCTGCTAACTCCTCTGGGGGTGCAGAGCACAGGTGGTCCCGGGGGCCCCTGACCCCAGGGAGAACCCCGGGTCTGAGCCCCCACAGCGATGTCCTGCCTCACCACCAACTCCCTGGGAGCTTTGGGGGATGGTAGGATGAAGAAGGCAGATGGAGGGTGATTTGTCTGGAGCTGATGAGTAATAAGCCTGGTCTTAGGACTCTTGACTCCTAGTTCAGTGCTCTTTCTCAGCATCTAAGGCCATAATCTTCCCTCTGACCCCGATCTCTGACACCTGGCACAAAGCTGGGTTTGGACATGCTTGTCAGCAGCACCGGGAGATCTGTGCTGGGAGAGGTCTCTTATCTGGGTGCTTTTATACCCTTCTCTTCTGTCCTGGTCAGGAGGGCAGGACCCCAAACTAAGGGTTTCTCCAAGTGGACAGTGCTTTGGGGATGGAAAAGGGTCAGTGCTCAGGGCCCATGGAACTGGCTGGAGCCTAAGACAGCACTTCCTGGGGAAGGTCTGGGCCTTACCTGCCCAGGATCTCCTTGGGCTCATAGTTCTCATAGAAGCCCTGTGCTGAGTACGAGTCTGGCAGTGCCTCGTCCCGCGTCATGCTCAGCAACTCTGGGGTGATTCTGAGGGGCTCTGAGAGAGAAATAGAAAGAAGCTGTCAGCTAAATTCTACCCCTGAAACTAATAATACACTAGGCATTAACTAAATTGAATTTAAATTAAAAATTTAAAATAAAAAAAAAAGAAGAAGAAGAAGCTGTTAGCCATCCTGATCTAGGTGATGTGCTTTTTGAGGGCTGGAACCCTTTCTTGCTCGTCTTTATCTCCTGGCACAGAGCAGGTCTATTGTGAATGTTCAAAATAAATGTGAATTGAAAAACCCTTTGCAAAGAGTCCACCTGCATCTTCCCACTGGATGTAAACTTTTGTGAACCCCAGGCAACCATGTGGCTCCCCGAATGTTCTCGCTGTAAGCTACCGCACCCCTAGTAGCAAACAGCAGATGGTTGGCCAGGCCTAAGCCCGGGCCAGAGGCAAGAGGTTGGGCCATCAGCCCCCAAGATCAGCTCTGACGAGGCTGGCACACCCTCGCTTTTAGAAAGAACCCCAGAGAAACTTTGCAGAGGACAAATTAAAGGGCTATTTCCTCTCCTTGAGGAGATGAGGCTGGTCCTGCTTTTCCTCTGCTTGTTCGCTGCACTTGTGGAAAAGATGAGAAGCTTCATGATTTCGTCTTAATAAGGCAGTCTTATAGACGCTCCTAACCACCTGCAGTCCTAACTGTGCTCACCTGAAAACTCCCCTCCTTCCAGGACACACTTCCAGTGCTTCCCACTGTTTCTTACTCATTCTGCCCTTAACCAGGGCTTCCGAAAATCATCTACCAACAGGAAGAGGGGCAGACAGAAAAGGGGCACAAGATGACACTCAGCAGGGCCAAAGCTACCTCTAGGCCCACTCCTACTGCCCTTTCTGGGCCCAAGAAGGCCTGGCCTATCAAAGGGGCCAATTTGCTGACCAGCCAAGTGGGGCTAGCTGTTCCAGGAAGCCTGGTGTCCCCAGTGCTGGTGCCTGGTTACCAGAGGAAGAATTAGAATAACAACAGTCTCCTCTGCCAACAGCTGGTGCCTGGGCTGCTCACAGCCTTCTCAGTCAGCAACCCCAACCGAGCACAGAAATATTTGTTCCTGTTAAAACAAGCCCATTTCCTCGCAAGTCCTTTTTAAGTTCCCAAGATGGGCATCTGTGCCCCCCACTTCCCCAAACTGGGTAGCACACGGTCTCTCCCTTTCCCCAGCCCACTATAGGCAGAAGATATATCTGGACGCACCCCAGGAAGCCATCCAGGCTGGGGGCTCCATTCCGGGGCATGGCGAGCCTCACAGAACTCTGGATGCACTCACCTCTCCTGGGGTCGGGCGGAGGGCCAGCCCCTTGCTCCAGGCCTAACTTGGGGCCATCTTTGGGCTTCTGTCCATTGCCTCCGCCCACACTCCCCACACCTTTCCCAAGACTCCTTTGGAAAGGGTCCCCAGACAGGAGTAGGTAACCTGGTTCTTTTTGGAACAAAACATCCCTCCCCCAAGCTCAGAGAGTCTGAAAATACAGGGAACCCACTTTCTGTAGGCAAATACCCTGAGGGGGCTTCAAGAGTCAATGGTGTTACTCTGTATCCATCTGCCTTCAGAAGGGAAAGGTGGGTCTAACAGCTCTTGGGGTTTCTGTCTTCTCTGCCGCAGAGCCTCTCCCTCTCTGCCTGTCGCCTGGCTTTTGTCCATCACTGGCCCAGCTACTCACTGTTAGGTCCTCGCAGGCCCTTGAGTGAATGTGACAGGAATCCCAAAGGTCTTAGAGCCCCTTGGGGAGTGGGGACAACTGAGGGCTGAAGCTGGTCCCCCGCGGACTCGTGGCCACAATAGGATATCTTGCTGCTCGTCCTTCGGGCTTTGCTACTTGGTGACGGAAGGCTGACGTACCAGAAATAAATCACAACTGCAAACCTGGGATGCAGGCCAAGGCCCAGTAGGGGCCAAGTCTCACCAGGAGGTGACCTCTGCTGGAGGGTGAGGGAAGCTCAGCAGAGGTAACCAGTCTCCCCTTTGGAGCTCCGTTGGCCTCCGGGCACAGAGGAGACAAAGCCAGCCTTGGTGGGAATGCGTTCACTTCTCTGGGAGCCATTTCTGTATGTGCAGAGAGCAGGGCTCTGGAGAAACCCCAGCACTGGCACATCCACAGAGCAGCCCCGGCTGCCATGGGGAACCAGACGTTGGGGCCCACCCAGGAACAGTTTGTGTGGCTGACCTGCAAAGTGCAGACTTTAAGCGTTAGGGAGCATCCCCGTTAGGAATCCATCTCTGATCTACCTCCATGATTTCATCCTTAACCCATTTGGTTTTCAGCCTGTGGGCCACTGGGAGGAGCTCCGGGTGCCAGGAAAAGCGTATGAGCTCTGACAGGGTACACCTTCAGGCTGTTTGGTTGAGGGTCCCCATCAGTATGATTAAGAGGTTGACAGATTGGAAATAATGTATGTGACATGCTGGCACACAGTAGACACTTACTTGTTGCTCTCTTGTTCTAAAGCTACCTTTTTTTTTTTTTTTTAAGATTTTATTTATTTGTCAGAGAGAGAGAGAAGTACACAAGCAGGGGGAGTGGCAGGGGGAGCGGCAGGGGGAGAAGCAGGCTCCCTGCTGAGCCAGGAGCCCGATGTGGGACTCAATCCCAGGACCCTGAGGTCATGACCTGAGCCAAAGGCCGATGCTTCACCAACTGAGCCACCCAGGCGCCCCTAAAGCTCCCTTTTTTCAAACCCCTAATTCTAATATAACAAATGAAGGGAGCCGTAATACAGTACTTCACACAGAGGCTGAGCCCACAAGCACCCATTTGATTAGCATTTCACAAAGCACTTGCACATCTTCACTTGCACCCTAAAACTCTGGTATTAAGCCCATGGTAAAGAGAATGTGACTTGCTCAAGGTCACTAAATAGGTGAGTAGGAGGGCCCAGACTAACCCCAGGTGTGGGCCCAAGTGCTCTTTCCACTGTTGATGCTGACCACCTATTTCTTCCACTCTGGGGAGATACTTTGCTGGATTGCTGCAGAGACAGGAGTTGCGCATGACTTGGGGTCTATGTATGAAGGTCTCTGCTTGCTGAGATGCAACATCTGGCTCCAATGATGGGAACACTTCCATCTCCTCCTTTCACTGTCACTAAGCTCCCCGATCCCTTTTGTTGTCCTCATGCTAAGCTATAGACTTGACTTCTCCTTTATACTTTCGTTTATAAAATCCCTTCCGACCTCAGGGCAAAAGGCCAATGTATCTAGTGGATTATTCCCTGGGTCTATCTCTGTGTAGCCATGGCTCCTACCAGGGAGAGGCCAGGACAGCCAGACTCTTGCATTTTATTGATGTCAGCAGTTCATTTTCCTTTTACTTTTTACCTTATTTAAATTCAATTATATACTGTATTATTAGTTGCAGAGATAGAATTCAGTGATTCATCAGTTGCATACAACACTCAGTGCTCATTACTTCAAGCGCTCTCCTTAAGACCCCATCCCCCCGCCCCCCTCCCCTCCAGCAACCCTCAATTTGTTCCCCATAGTTAAGGGTCTCTTATGGTTTGCCTCCTTGTTTTCATCTTATTTTTCCTTCCCCTCCCCCATGTTCACCTGTTTTGTTTCTAAAATTCCACCTGAGTAAAATCATATGGTATTTCTTTCTGACTTATTTCACTTAGCATAATACCCTCTAGTTCCATCCACGTCACTGCAAATGGCAAGATTTCATTCTTTTTGATGGCTGTTTACTTTTTAACGTAAACTCTACACTCAACGTGGGGCTTTAACTTACAACCCCAAGATCAAGAGGGACATGCTTTACCCACTAAGCCAGCCAGGTGCCCCATTTTCCCTTGATTCATTGATTCAATACACTATTAGGGTACCCACCATACACCATCACACCTTGGACATAAGGGGCAATAGCGCTATGAACTTAGAAGTCTTGAGCTTTCCCAGAAATGGGCAAAGGAGCCCACTGATGAATCCAGAAGGAAATATGGTGGGGGATTTGCCAGGAGTGAACGGTCTGTGGTGATTCAGCAAGGTGGTCTTGGCCCCTTTCAGGAACTCATAAGAGTGGGGCCCTCTAGGGGCACCTGGGTGGCTCAGTTGGTTAAGTGTCTGCCTTTGGCTCAGATCATTATCCCAGGGTCCTGGGAGGGAGCCCCACATCAGGCTCTCTGCTCAGTGGGGAGCCTGCTCCCTCTTCCTGCCGCTCCCCCACTTGTGCTGTCATTAAATAAAATCTTAAAAGAAAAAAAAGTAGAGCACTCTAAGAACACAGCTGAGAACAGGAGACAGCAACTGAAAAATTTACTCAATAGCACTTTCCTCACAGGTAACACAGGTCTGTAGTAGTAACACAGGTCTCTCAAACTTACAGATTGGAAAAGAAATCAGATAGCCTCGGAAACGTCCATTGGAAAGTAGGAAAAGTGCAGAGCACAACGTAGGCTGGAGATAACTTCCAGAAGTGAATATAATTTTGAGTTGTGAAGAAGGGAGCTGGGTTCATTTTTAAAAAATGATGCACCCCAAATTGAGTCCATCTCAAGACAACATGGAGTGGGCAGTCGCAGCTAGCTTGAGTCTTTCAGCAAAGGGAAGCTACAGTGCCTTAACATAGAAGAAAAACTTTGCAGGGGGACTGCCTGTATCGAGAGGCTGGTTTTCATCTCTGACCAATTAACTGGATACAGGAGGGGAATTGACATGTAGTGCTGACCTGGCCAGAGGAACCCACTCACCTAATAGGTCTATTCCCACATTTCCTGTTACTGCTCAGTTTACCAAACACTGGCCTGCCACCTGGAACCTTTTTTATTTATTTATTTATTTTTTTAATATTTTATTTATTTATTTGAGAGAGAGAGAGAATGAGATAGAGAGAGCATGAGAGGGGGGAGGGTCCGAGGGAGAAGCAGACTCCCTGCTGAGCAGGGAGCCCGATGCGGGACTCGATCCCGGGACTCCAGGATCATGACCTGAGCCGAAGGCAGTTGCTTAACCAACTGAGCCACCCAGGCGCCCCACCTGGAACCTTTTTTAAAGAGCACTATGTTTACTAGTGAGCTACTCCTTACAGAACTACTTTTCTACAAAAGCTCAGGGAGCCCGGCCAGATCATCCAGATGGATGCGAATTTAATACTGAGACTATAAAACGGATATGCTTAAAGACATGTTAAGACAATGGAGTACTTTTGCAAAATGCAAATACCGTTATCAATTTATAATCTTACACTTCAAAGACACATTTTGGGAGAAAATCACTTTATTCTAATTCACAAATGAGAACATCACAAAAGGTGATTTAAGGAGGCACACAAATATCTGCCCAATCCCAAATTCAAACCATCTCAATGAACTTCTATACAGTAAGAACAACCTTTTTTATTCCAATTCTGAAGAAAGCTGTATTTAATGATGAAGGAGAAGCTTAACTGGTGGTTTTACACTTTATATATTCACCATTCACCATCAATTATATTTTTATGCTAAATTAACTTGGTTATGAGAGATGATTTTCCTTATCTTCAATTTGAACTTCTTGATTAGGCTAATCCTGCAAACAGAAAAGATCAGTGAGAAGAGAAATAGCTGTATATTCTTAGCAAAGCAGAAGCCCTCCAAATGGTAGGAGGGATGAAAGCCCGAGGTTATCAGTTTCTTGCCTAAATGAAGGCAGGAAAATGAAAACGGAACATTTTAACAGATGGTGAATTCTTAGGTCAGTAAGGGGAAGTTATATAAAAACAAGCTCACTGCCAACATTCCACACAGCCCAAACCTCAGACTTCCACTGAGGGACTGAATACACTTGTCTCTCAAATAATCTGTGAAGAATGCCAAGGACTTATCAGTCTTTATACCCAACCTTGGACTTCAGTGAAAATGGAATATCATTTTTTATTCACAGCTTTAAGGCTGTAACACCCACATCCTGTAACCAGAACAAGACCTGGCACACTAATCTACACCCACTTAAGGAAGAATCAGATTCACAACATAACTGGTAAAAGCGTAAGATAGTGACTAGAAATCACTGGACCAGCTCTTTGTTAGAAAAACTAGATTATTTTTAGAATGTAAACAAAATCTCCTCTAACTTGTCAGTTTAATTTACTACACAGACTCCCAAAGTTCTATAGGGCCCAGGAGTATCATGCTGTGACTTGCACAGATGCAGGTTCAATCAGGGATTGATGTTATCACCTACCATTTGCAAATCTGCACTGTTTCAGCACCTCGCTGAAACCTTCACAAAGCTTCAAGTCACCCTGGTTCTGGGCACACTCCAGAAACTGTTTCATCTCATAGTGGCATGGGCCAAACTGCTGCTGCTCCTGGTATGCTGGCTGGGTTTCCTGAGGCTCCTGCAAAGGCGTTAACATTCAGAACCATTAAGAAAGGAAATTAGATTTACGCCTGAACAAAGAACAGTATCCAATGTCTTTGAGGTCAACTGGGGAAACGTAACTAGAACTAGATGCAAATTAGTTTCCATCTAATAACATGGAAAGTGAAAATTTTTAAAGGCAGAAAGCAAATCTGTGTCTTTGGGGCGTCTGGGTGGCTCAGTCGTTAAGCATCTGCCTTCAGCTCAGGTCACGCTCCCAGGGTCCTGGGATCGAGCCCCGCATCGGGCTCCCTGCTCGGCGGGAAGCCTGCTTCTCCCTCTCCCACTCCCCCTGCTTGTTGTTTCCTCTCTCGCTGTGTCTCTGTCAAATAAATAAA